ATGGCATTCTCGATTCATTTTGGCATTCTGATAAAATGTTGACATCAACGGCGGCGGCGGCCAAATTTGCAGTCGCGGAGGCCGGATCAGCGGCGGCGGCCAGATCTGCAAGGCCGGTGGCCGCCGGCCAGTTCTGCAGCGGCGGCCGGATCTGTGGCGGTGGCCGGTGACTGGCGGTGGCCCGGCATTCTGTTGGCGACAGTAGGTTTTGCCAAGCTTCAGGGGTGTATCTGTCCAACTACAAATAACAACTCCTACTTGGGGAATTTTTTAACTTCACTCCTATTTTAACAATAAAAAATTTATTTCCTTCCATTTAGCTAAATCTCCCTATCCTGCAAGATTGAGGTTAATTTAACAACTTGAACTACAGGTTGCCACTGATGTTGCTTCTCGTGGATTGGATGTCACTGGAGTTGCACATGTAGTTAACCTAGATCTTCCAAAGGTACATCAACGTACTAGGAACAATCCTTTCTGTGAAGTCTTGTTGACAACCTTGAGTTTATTTCATTCTTTCACTTTTGGACATCTATCATTTTCCTAAAATAAAAAATATATAAAATTTGGAACTTATCAGCAGCTCATTTGATAATACTCCCTCCGTCTCGCTAACAATGGGACAAGAGGGAGTGGCACACAAACCAATAAAAAGTGGTTTATGTGGTTGATATTGAATAGATAAAGTATTAAGTAAGAATGATTTAGAGCCACATAATTTTTTTACCAAATTTGGTATGAGACAATCTTAGTGGGACGGACCGAAAAGGTAAAATGGGACAATCTTAGCGGGACGGAGAGAGTAGTAATTAATGATGTGAACTTTTCAAGAGAGTTCTTTATGCGACACAATGACACAGTTTATGATCATACCCGTTTTTAACAATTGATCCTTTTTCCAGATTACAAATTAACATTTTCTCTAAAATACAAGGATGTTTTCAGTTAGACTTATTTCGGCCCCAGACTAGACTTAGATAATCATAAAATACGCATAACTTTAAAATTAGCGCACACAAATCAAATGTATTGAAATACCAGTATTTCTTTCACTGTGTGTAGACCATGGAGGATTATGTCCACAGGATAGGAAGGACTGGTCGTGCAGGATCAACAGGGAGAGCCACATCATTTTATACTGACCGAGATATGGTATTTTTCTTCCCTCTCTCTACATGTAGGATAGTCTTTGTCCACTAACAAGTTAATATTTACATTTTTGCCTATTGGTGCAATAATGCAGTTTCTTGTGGCACAAATACGGAAAGCAATTGCAAATGTTGGGTGTGGCAATACTGTTACTTTTGCTACTGGAAAGGTAAATGTTAATAAAGATAATCTAAGTCATCCTTTACATCTGCCTTTGGAAACTTCTAGTAGCTCTTGATATGGTTTTTGCACTAGTACTAGTATGCTATGATGCACATTAGTAAGAGGCAACATTGCGGGTTTTGGCAACATTCAATAAACTTCTCATAAATTCTATGGTAACCCTTCAAACAACTGTATGATTCAAAAAATATTGTTTCACATGCAACCTCTAGCTAGTATGTCTTATGGATTTACTGTTTGGATTAAGGTCCATGAGAGATTCAAGAAGCTTACGAAAATAAAGTGGATTTATTAAATAGAAAGGAATAAAAGAAAGTAATAGATTGAGAGAAATATCCGAGAGCCCAAAGGAACCCTCCATCCAATAATACTTTTTGCCCCACCAATGACCTATTGTTTTCTTCTAAAATCTGGATGTCGTTCTTCGGGTAACTGGGAAGAATACATGATTTATGAACTTTATAGATTACTACGTATTTTTCGACGCGATTTTCACTATGGGTCATTCGGAAACAGTCTCTCTGTGCTTTAGTATAGAGGTAAGACTATGTACATCCAACCCCTTACCCCACCGTAGGTGGGAGCCTTTGCGGCACTGGGGTAATAATGATGGTGATAGATTACTACGTATGAATTTATGATAAATCACTATTTAAGCACATCATCACCGAAGAGTAAAAATCGACAAGTCAACTTGTCTCTGACTGTCTATCAACCCCAAATAAAAAACCAAGCTCAATCAGTTGATAAATTCCACACATAGATTTCCTTATATATATTTGGCCTGGTTGCGCGAAAGTTTCACGACGTTATGCTTTGGTGATCACAAAAACAAGGTGCCCCCTGCCCCATTAACTCGGACGACTGTTTGTATTCATAAATTATATATTATTTATGTTTCTAGACTGCAAGAAGGAAGGAGAAAGAAGCAGCGGCAGCTCATAGGGAAGCAAGTACCGGACTCTCCAAACTGTCGTTGATGGGATCCGCTGCTACAATAAATGTCGAGGACAGTTACAGGCACATGATTTCACCAGCTACAGGCAAGAAAGCTGTGGGAGCTGCAGATAGTGCTTGGGATGATTGATTTTCCCCACATTTTAGTTGAGAATGGAGTGAACAACAAAGTCACGGCTGAGTGTGTGCATGTTTCACCTCCACGGTACTTACCCTCTATCGATTTCATGTCTGTGCTCACAGTTAGTTACTAGCCTCCTCCTCCCCCCCAAGTAGAACATCTTTCTAGCATTTTAGTTGAGGTTTTGGCGACTTATCGTTTCTATTCTTTTATTACATATTTATGGTCTCTGACTGTAGCATTATATAGCATTGTTAGCAAATCACAATGTGCCCATCTTTTTGTTAATATAATATATTATTATATAGACGACAACCTTTGTCATGTACACCAACAAATGAAGCTTTAATATCGATTTGAAGCTTTAATTTCGAAATCGATGTGGCGTTAGTGTATGGCTTTGCAAACGGCGTACTGGACAAACACCAATACGTACAATTCCAATAAAATATGGTATGGTAAACATCCATGACTCACACACTGTATGTCTGATTCATTGGCATGCCAAACATAAAACATTTTATTTTATTTTAAAAATAGTATCACATATATTACACAGGAAATTACTCACGGTAGGACTAAAACATACGTATACCAAAATATGATTATATGTTTGATTTCCCTTTAATAGGACTAAATATTATATTTCCTTTGCAAAATCAAACTCATTTTGTTGACGGCAAACTCCAGTGACAAAGGCGGACATGCAAATCGGTACTGGCGATCTAGGTGGAAATTCTGACAACCGGCAGTGGTGGTTCGGATTTAAATGTTTATGGACTATTTAAGTATATAAACTTATCTATGAATTTAAAAGTCAATAGAATTCATTCATAAAAAGTCTATGAATTTAAAAGTCCATAAACTTTTTTAGAAGTCTATGGATTAAAAAAAGTTCACCACAACCCATATTCAATACACTCCTCTAAATCTACTCATTCCGTTGTGCAATACTCGATTAACCAGCTTTCTTTGCGTTCCATATTCGTATGGACTGTTACTGTGGAACACAAAATTAGAGGCACAAATTCTCTTCGAAAAGTCATTTATTCCAAGATTGGTTAAAAGTAAAATAACGTAGTCAAGAATGAGGTATTACATTGATAAAGTATTTCATGATAGAAATCACCACCGATGAGGAAACTAGGAAAGTGATAGTTCTAACGAATATCACTTTCTTAAAAATGAGTTACTTTATTAATGCATACATGCATATTGACATTTGGTTGCTAGTATTTTTGAAAATGAATTTAAAAATTCTTCAATGCCTTATTGATGGTTTTTCCTTTTTCATTTTTAAATTCAAATAAAATACACGTAGTTTAAGTGCCCAAGTAGCTTCGGCAGTTGATTTAATTCTAGAGTTGTCTCGATTGCCCAAAAATAAAACACAAATTTTTTCAAAGTCTTTAAGCAAAAAATTGGAGAGTGAGTGAGTCAACCCCGTTAGACATAGTAGTCTGAAAAATCCTTTAAATCAGGAATTCGTTCAGATCTCAACTCTGGTATTACAAGGCATAAAATCCAAGATAAAGTTACCTGATAAGTTCCCACTTGGAGCTTGATCAATCTCTAACGTTGACTGCTTGTAATGTAATTTCATTGTTTAATTTCTTTTCTAAGTATTTTTGACCAGAAAGTCTATCTACTTTCATTTCCCTTTTCTGAAAGCATATGCTACAACCGACGGTACAATGCGCACTTTTACAATCATATTTTAATTTATACTTAATGACTATATAGTTTTAATGAAATGAGTATTAGTATTAAATTATAAAATTAGCATACTAAATACTTTTAATGACAAAACGATGACAATATAATTAAATGAATAAGTTGATTTGTAGCATATATATATCACATGTAAATCATAGAGTAAATTCCCTAAATAGGAGTAAAAAAGTTTTGAAATTCTAAATTCTAAAATAGGACTATCATGTTTTATATTCCCTAAATAAGAGTTAATTTCTGCCAAGTTTGGCATTACTAGGCTTTTAAACACGACATTTTTTCCCAAACTTGGCAGATTACTCCTATTTTGAAATTTCAAAGTGTTTTTACTCTTATTTAGGGCAATTTCTATAAATCATACGGAGTAATACTCTGTTGCACACTTCTATACTCAATTGTGCTATCAAAACAGAAATTTAATACTAATGGTCATTTCTTTTAAGGTTATACTCATTAGGTTTAAAATAAAATATCCGGGTTGTACGTTTGAGCACCGTACAACCAGGTATACCATATACGGTGAACACCGTATAACTGGATGTACGGTATACCGTTATACGTACTCTTCAGAAAGTCCTATTTACGCATGCTATATATATTTATAATAATACTCTAAATCAGCTCTCGGAGTAAATTGTATTATCAAACTGCGTGATAAGAAACTAAGAATTAAGAAAGGTGATTACTTTTTTTCCAAAAAAATTAACAAAAAAAGGCTGCTTTAACGTATCAGTAAAATTTTCAAAATTAATATAATAATCTCTTTAAAACAGCTGGGCTGATTTATATGTCCGATCTTTGAATTTTGAAATACTACACTTTTATAGTTTTATATGAAAGTACATATTCATAAAAAAACGTGCCATTTTCATTCAACTAAATGAGTGTACTAAATCTTTAATTGATCTGAAATAAGATATAACCATACAGAGATCAGGCACACATGAGTTTTGTTAAGGGCAAAAATCGAAGTCTACAAAATACCAAAACAAACGCACATTAAGTGAATGAGTTTTATAAGCAAATGTATCCAAAATTCCACAAACAATTCAAGATGAGTCGGACTACGGGTAGGATTAAGCATACTTCAGGCTTTCAGAAATATTAGAAATATATATATATATATATATATATATATATATATATATATATATATATATATATATATATATATATATATATATATCAATTCCAGGAACACAATATAAGATCAGCTTATGCTCCAGCTTTCCGACGTCCAACACGTGCAACAAAACCAGCTTTGATCTGTGCAACTGATCTTCCAGAACCACACTGCAAAGTTTTAAGATGATAGTATGTTTATTCCTTGTTATTTGTTTTTGGGAAATGAGAATGTACACAAAAATGAGGCTAAACTAAACTAGTTGGGTGACCATACCTTTTCACATCTAAGGAAGAAAAGCCGGTTCTCCTTTGACAGAATGGTGTCTGGACTTTTGCAGCCATTGCAAATAACATATTCATCTGAACATACAAACAACGTGTAATAAACAAGTTATCCTGACTGGTCAAGTATTGAGACAATATAGCACTGGTAGCAAATAGATTAACAATGAAACAACTCAGCAAACACCTAGGCCTGGGACCGGTTCGGTTCTTACTCAAAAATAGTGGAACCGTTATTTAAATTTTAACTAATGAAATCGGTTCGGTTCCTATATAAAATATCAAGAACCGATATGGAACCTAACCAATATTAAACAGTTCGGTTCTTGCTTTTATCGGTTCCTAGAATAATTTTTTCGTGTAAGAATTAACACATAGTTTAGCTTCAACCACATGAAAACGTCAAAAGGTCAAAACAAGTCATAAACATTTATTTAGAGTTCTAATCGCTCCAAACATCAAAAGCTCAAACTTTAGTGAACACTTAATAGAATACAAAGAAGATTTTAATTTTCATTTAATACATAAAGTATAAAAATCGTTGGTTATGTCGTCGAAATGAAGGTTGCTCATCATTATAGTGGCAAGAATAGGACGTACACATTATGCCTCTCAAAACCTAGAAAATACATTGAGTTTGCATGTACAAATATAAAAGCATCACTACATTCTACTCCTAGTGATGGAACAAAACTTGATTTGTAAAAATGAGCTTAATGTATTCAACCTCATGTGCAAATATTTATTATTTTTGTTTTCATTGATTAAATTAAATTAAAATTATTGACTAAACTGTTACCAACTAATACCTCATTTGTAAGAACCAGGAACCGAACCGTTACCAACTAATACCTCATTTGTAGGAACCGAACCGAACCGGGTTATAACGGTTCAGTTCCGACCGGTTCAACGGTTCCTGGTTTCAAAATCCCACCCCTAAACACCTATAAAATTTGGCCAAGCCCGGAACACTGAAAATGGCAAGAAAATGTTTTTTAAGAAAAAAAGTTTATTTAAGTTCATTTGACCTTGGAGGCTTGGAAAATACAAAGACAATTCAAATTAAATTTAAACTTATTACTAACACTATACATATAGATATTGAGATTTCTTAGTCTATATAAAACAGACCTATACAAATAAAAATTAATTTGAAAATATCTGAAATTGCTTTATCAAGTTTGGACAAAATTAAAATTTTCCACATCTTTTCTTTCCTTCCTAAATTTATTCTTTTGCTTCCAGCCTATCTTCTTTGCATAGCATTTTCAGGGATTCCAAACTGACCCTTCCATTTTTAGTCAGAAAGAAGTTACCTACTCGTTTGTGGATAGACTTGCTTAAACCTAGCTATCACGTGGAAAGGCGTAAATTGGAATTGAAGTACTTACTAACGTATCGACGTAGGATCCCTTCAAAATTCTTTGGAGCAAATCTTCCCTTGATGACCAATCGTTGCTGCCCATCAAGCGATCCACTAGTCCCCATTTCAGCCAACAAGAAAGTCATGACATGCTCTGGCTGCCGATGCATCCTATTTATTTTATAAGGTAAACAACGCATTAGAAATGCAGATGTCACCATTGATATAGTCCCATGTATGGCACCCTAGAAAAATATCTAGATGAACTTGTGAACCAACTGTTTATCTATATGATAAACATTAACAAACCCACAACTAATAACATAAACATAGCATAAATAGCTTATTAAATGGGCACTTGATAACAGGTTCTTCAAACAAATATAGATTAATAAAATAGAATCAGACAAAAAATTACAATGAAGCAGGTTCTCAAGGGCAAGGGTAGGGGGAGAAGATCTGTAATTACATACGTTTTGCAAAGATCCATGAAATTAACAAAGACGGTCTTCTTTGTGCCTTCACGAAGGACTTGGGGAGGCCTCATTACTGTTCTACGCCTGTCCCCAGCAAGCTCAGGATTATTTTCACGAAGTATATTGAACACTCGACCTAAAAGCTATGAAACCAAACAAAGAAGGGAGATTAGTGATACGATATATAGGATCAAATACACACATGTATATAGGCAAAACACTGTCCTAGATGCCACATGCCCTGCTCATGACAAATTGCAGGATTTTTTGTATGAGTAATAAGATTGACGTGCAATACAACCATAGTAAAAAACAAATTATTTTTATGGCCTCTTTTATATACTACTTCTGAAACAAATGTTTTTGCCACTTTATTACCCAGTCTAAAAGTACTATTAATTGACGCCAGATATCATGCCCATGTGAAATGCCAGATATTTATGATAACTGCCTAAGCGCAAGAAAAATTATGAACCCAAGAAGTACATACCTCCTCATATTCATAATCCCTGTCACTTCCTTCCCATGGATAGCGGTGGAGAACAATTTCTTCAGCTTCCTCATCGTCCCCAAAGTGATCTGAATCAAAATGGTTTGAATACATCATATATTGCATCTAAGAGAATACAGAAGCATATTTTTAAGATTTGATGAATTGTAGCTCAAAAGAATTGGTAACACACCATCTATTTCATCCACTGCATTATCTGTCTCATCATTCAAAAGATCAGTGTGTACCTGCAGTAATTTACAACAATTTACACAAAATGAGTGTTGTGTGAAAAATTAATACCCTCCTTACCGGAAACAACATCCCACACTTGGACACATTTTAGTGGAGAGCTACAGTGGGAAGTTGACTTCCAATGATACTCCTACTTTATGTCGAATCATGTAAGAAAGTGTGAGTACAAAGTACAAATAGTTTTGACATTTGATGATGACAAGTTACTTTTTATGGAAATGAGAAGTTTATTTTGAGACACTCAAGTAAGGAAAGTGGGAAGTTGTTTTAAGGGCAGAGGTAGTATAAAACACTAGCACATGCATTGTACATTCATAAACTTACAGATTTCTTCTTCTTCTTCTTTCCAGAAAACGAGGTCTCACCAACTTCTGAAACTGCGTAGCAAGACAACTCAAACTATGGAGCAGCCCGAACAAAAAATACACCTCATTATTTTCTTAGGGGGAGCAAGTAACTCAATTAGAACACCATACCTGACAAACTTTCAGTTTTTTCAGCTAAGCTATCAACGGATTCATCTGCAGGATCTTGGATGACAACCTTTTTCTTCTTTTTCTTTTTTGTAGGGTCAAATGAAGCAATCTGGAATAAAGTTTCATATTAACAGCAAAGCCATTAAAAATAGGCATCATATTCTAGGAAATGTCATAGGGTCTTCTGCTTATATGAAATGATAATGAAATGTTGTCTTCTACCCCTAACCATCTAAACACGCCGACTGTGACATATTAAAGTGTATTTAGCATGACATCTCAAGATTACATTTCAGAGTAGTAGGACTTTTACTAAACAGGACATTTATTATAAAAGGCTTCAGCTATGTGGCATTAGAATTGAAAGGCAAATATTTTTGTAAAGTAAATTTACAAAATACAAGTGATTACATATTTTTAGACGAGCTAAAAAATAGGCAAATTCAATATTCTTACTTCAAGCCTGGCAATAGTAAGCCAGTAAGTAAGTGGTGTGCGCACGCGCAGTCGTACGACAAGCGGATCAGAAGAAGAATAGTGAAGAATACTAGATATCCAAAAGAGAGTATAGAAAAAGAGAACTATCTAAGCTTACATCCGCAATTTCATCCTTCGATTCCTCCTTTATGTCATTCTGGACTTCCTCTTCAGCCATGATTTTGCCTAAGCTTCAAGGGATAAATGCGTCAACATACAGGTGCAGGATTATCCAATCGTGAATCGCGTAATTAGTTGCCAACAGGGAAAACAAAAAAGGATTTCTGACAAAAGTCATTCAGATGCATCGTAAACCTAAAGCACATTACCAATCGGGGGTTTTTACCTTCAAGTGAACGCAGTGAAAACTCCTGCTTCCAGCTACTCTTCCACGCCGGAGTTGAAACCTCTTAGTTCATCTTTACGCCTGCAAGGACTATGTTGATGAACTGGAAAAACCCTGGCGTTCGGGACTACGATTATCTATGTTTTTGGGCCGGTTATATTTCACATTTCTAGACTCGCAATAAATGGGCTAAGATTTGGATGTTGTTGCAAAGATTATCAGTCTTCTATGTTCTAATCATGATTACACGATACTTTAGGGCCTTAGGCCCAACTCATGTATGCTTTTTTCACTTCATTCAATCATTCATTTAATGGGAAAAAAGTAATTAAAATACAGGGTTATTCCCTTAATATCACTAAATTGGACAGAATTTCCAAAAATGTGAGTACTTTTAAAAATTGACAAAAAAGTGATTAACAATGGCACATATTTGGAATTATAAAACATGATGCCACTACAAAAAAATTAAGTCACCGTGTTCATTTTTCTTGTCACCGAGAGTTTTCAAAGTCAAAATTTTCACGCCAATTACACCACCACCACCATCGCCACAGTGACATCGTCATAGTGACGCCGCCTCCGATAACACCACCACAGTGACATGCCGACGGCCATCTACAATGTCACCATCAAGCCCACCACCCACTGTCCTCAACACTGTCCTGCACCTGCACCCTCCTCAGCCCTGCCCCATCCCCATCCCCGATGGCCATCTACAATGTCACCGCCACCGACCACAGTGACACCACAACAGTGACACCGCCACCGGCATCGTCATACCATTAATACAAACCGTACTGCCCCTTCCCCTCCCAGCCATCCTCGGTCGTCACTGCCAGTCACCCGCCTTCACCCCTAACATTGAGCCACCCCACCCTCAGCCCCAACATCAAGGCCCCAGCCCTACTCCCCTATCCCCAGCCCCCTCCCTTGCTCCCCTTCCCCGCCCCTGTCCTCCCCCATGTCCTTCTCCGTCCAGTTCGCACAAAACCTCAACCATAACACCACCAGCAGGGCGGCGGCCCCAAATCGGACTCGTCGTCGCCCTTTGAGAAAGATGAATCTGGAACCGGCGGCCTCAGATCAGAGCCATCGTTACTACCTTCCAAGCCTACCTGCTTCACCTCCCCATTGACCGCACAGAAAGAGAATGAATATAAATCAGCGCGGGGGGAGGGCGACGGATGATGACTGGTGGAGCAGAGAAGCGGAGGAGGATGGCGGTCGCCATAGTCGTAGGTTGCCGGATGTGAGGTTGATGATGGAAGATCGATGGAGGAGACCTGCACACCTGCGTGGATAGTTCCAGACATGATCGATTTCCATGGGGAGGAGAGAAACGACCGGGTCACATTTTTGTCAAGGTCCAAAGCAGTCACATTTTTGTCTATTAAAACCTTATTGATAATATTTGGGCCATTATTTCTTAAAATACCTCAAACTTTAAAGAGGTGTGAGATAAACACCCCAAACTTTTGTATGTAATTTAAATACCGTAAACTTTATATAAAGTTATTTAAGCACCATTGTCATATATTATTTTTTTCGAAAATGTAAATTTATGTTGTTAATTGCATAATTTAAAATAAAAAATTAAAAACGTTGCAATTATATAGAGTGGGGTAGTATAATTTATTTTACAATAGAAGTTTATAATGTTAATTGTATCTTCATGAATGCAAAAGTATTTTAAATTATGAAATTAACACCAAAAATTAACATTTTTGAAAGAAATAATAAATGGCCGTGGTGCTAAAATAACTTTTGATATAAAATTTGTAGTATTTAAATTACATATGCAAGTTTGGGGTGGTTACCTCACACTTCTTCAAAATATTGGGTATTTTAATTGTTTTTTCCTTTAATTAATGGCACATCGAAAAAACTACTCATTTGGACCGTAATTGTGATATACAAGTACTAGAAGGGCTGGAATTATTTCTGAAATTCAGCTCATAAATATAAAAGGTTTATCGGAACTATTGATGTATTCACATTTGATTGAGGGAGCATGACATATATAGCCATTAAATATATCATATTTCCTCAAATGAGCTATTTATATTTACTAATCAGATCCTACTTAATTGTTTCTTTTGTTGATTTGTCACTAATAAAATAACTAAAAGCAGGGGCGGAGCAAGAAAAATGTGTGAGAGGGGTCAAAATGATGGATAGTTATTATACAATGTTTGAGTTAAATGTTTCATATGTAGCTGAGATAAATGGTAGTTTAATGAGATTTTTTCGGTTAATGTATTGATATATATGTAATGTATCACAATGTTCACACAACTAATGATTGAATAAGCTGTTTTATTTTTAAATTCAAGAATATAATCAACGTCACACATCAAATTTTGCTTATTTCAAGTTAAGATGGTGCTGATTTTTCCATAAGTCATAACTTTTTACTCGTAATGAGTTACGAGACCCATAATATATCAAATCTAAGGTATTTCAAAGCTCTACATTCTTGAATTTTCAGCGAGGTCGGCTGACCACCCTAACCCCCCTTGGATCCGCCCCTGACTAAAAGTTTACTCATATCTTAAATGAATTTGAACCACCTAGATTGCTCAAAGCCTCAAATTTCCAATTTTAATTGGGGATTAAAGAAAGCCAGATGCGTAGTATTATAATTGTTATTTTTTTTGTAGTACTTAGTGTAGATAACAAACTATTTACTAAGTCCTGAATGGATTAAGATGTTTGTCTGCATTAAGTTGTCTGTCTGGATTAAGTGATAGTGAGATAACAAACTGTTTACTAAGTGTGCTGAATGAGAAGTCTGAATCACGTTAAATAACCAAATAACCCTTCTGTCTGGAACAAGTGTTGAATGTATATTGTTTGTTTACTTTCTCTGTTCTGAAACATAATTTCAGATGCCCGAGAATAATAATGTTATGAAATATTAACATAAAAAAGTCGCATTACATGATGAGAAAAAGTCATTTGTCTTAACGAGAACAACACTTTAAATTTAAATGTTTCCTGCTAGTCTATTTGCGATTTCATTCCGCAAATTCGTCATTTACTGTAAACTTTGTGTGCCCCATTGTGTTGCATGCACTTCTTCTCCAATATTATCAGGTTCCTCCTGTGCTTCATTGTTGCCTATAGTGTCATCTTCCCATTCTTTGAAAAAGTCATCATCAATGTTGGACTTTCTAATAAAATTATGAACGGCAAAACAAGCAATCGCCACATTCCTTTGTATCGCAAATGGATAAGGAGCCATCTGATCTAAGATTGGAAACCTTGCTTTCAAGACACCATACGTACTTTCAATCACATTCCGGAGTTGTGCATGCACATGATTGAATCTTTCTTGTTTAGTCAATGCACGACGACGTCTGATAAGTCCATTTTTGTACTTATTTTTCTTATCAAATTTAAGTGATTTTGGATTGAAAAATAGAAAAACAAGGCATGTTTTATATATTTTGGTTCAAGTTTCGTGAAATCAGGTAAAAAATCACGTCCATGATATGTTTGACGAAATTTCGGATCAATTAAGCACACAATGAGTCAATTTGAGTGAAAAATGATATCATACCGAAAGAAGGAAGCAGCAATTCAAAGTGGTCCAGAAGGGAAAGTTGAAGAGCACAAAATACAGAACAAGACAGAAAAATAATCTCACAGGCGCCCAAATAGGCGCCTAGATTGGCCGCCTACCAGGCCGCCTACGCTATTTTTGGAAATTCAGCATTTTTGGAATTTTTGACCGGACCGGACCGAAGGCTGCCGACACTGGACAGAAGGCGGCCGCCTTCGGTGGCCGCCTGCGGCACAAGGCGACAAACCAACCGCCTGCTGGACTGCTTGCGGCGGATGACAAGACCGGCGCACGTTCGACTGTCGGTGATGGGACGGAAGGCCAGAGGCAGCCGCCTGGTTGGCCGCCTACGGGATTTTTTGTCCTATAAATAGCCCGATTTTTGTTGAACTCAAACACACCATTTTTAGCCCGAAACTAGTTCAAAAAGGTCTTCTTCTTCCTCTTCAAAACTCGGATTTCCACAATTATTGGACCTTCAACTTCAATCTTTCATATCTTTCTCATTTTAGCTCCAATTTGTAAGTTCTTTATATGAAAATTCATCTTTTCGTCGTGTAGATTCTAAATATGTTGTTTTTATTTTCCAAATGTTAGTGAAACATTCTCTGCATTAATTTTAATAGTTTCGTATTTTCCATTTTAAATCATGAAAATTAGATCTTGTTGTTATATTAATCTCCTACTTAGACAACCTCAATACCTAGTATAAATAATGTTTATTTGTGAAAGAAACGAATGCTTAGATGTTGGGAGTATTCACTTTAATATTTTCTTGTGTTGTTATTATTTATGATCATGTCTTATTTTATATGTAAAATGTTAAAATTAGTAATGAGTTGTTGTAGTTAATTTACTCTTGGGCATGAATTGAATTAAAGGAATATGGATTGACTTGTTAGCCGAAAATTAGGGGTTAAAACTAATTAATTGGACTAGTTATTCAAAATTGATGAAATAGTAATTAATAATTGTTAGCCATTCTCATTAATTAAATTTTGGAAAATTATTTCTAACTTGTCTATGGGATTAGAAAAATAATTTGAGTCAACCATATTTAAGCACGTTAATTAGGCTTAGAAATAGGAAATTTTAATGAAATGGATTTACATCTTGTCTGTGAGAATTAAATTCAAATTGCTTAATTAATGAGTTTAATTAGTTAATGAATTTGGCTATTTTTATTGAACAAAATATTGGAGAATTATTTCTGTCTTGTTTATGAGATTAGAATTTAATTCAAGCCAACCATTTTTGAATACATTGATGAACCCTAGAAATAGGATAAATTAATGAAAGTAATTTCTATTCTTGTCTATGAGAAAAGAAATTATTAGTCCAATTTTTGTTTTAATTCCCCTAATTACTAGGTCTAAGAATATATCTATTTCTAATTATTCAATTCATTGCCCTTCTTTGATCAATCCATTTAGAGTTAATATTATATTTTTCATTTAGTTTATTTTGAGCCATTATTAGTATTTTGCATAATTTAATTTACTTTCTTTTTCAAAAACTAGTTTAGAAAATCAATCAAAAGTTTTAATTTGGAAAACTTCCAATAATTTGCGATAACCTGTGACTGGACTTAAAATCAAGATACCCCTCCGTC